TCATTCAATGGTCTTTTTGGGGTGAGGGGCCCAAAACTGAACCCACTCAGCGAGGGGCGGCCTCCCCAGTGCCGAGCCCAGGGCTCAGATCCCTTCCCTGTCCCTGCTGGCCACGCCAGTGCTGACACAAGCCAGGATGCCATTGGCCGCCTTGGCCCCCTGGGCACACTGCTGGCTCCTGTTCAGTCGGTTGTCAATCAACACCCCCAGGTCCCTCTCTGACTGGCAGCTCTCCAGCCACTCCTCCCCAGTCCTATAGCCCTGCTGGGGGTTGTTGTGGCCCAAGGGCAGCCCCCGGCATTTGCCCACAGTGAAACTCCCCCAGTTGGCCTCAGCCCATGGCTCTGGCCTGTTCAGATCTCTCAGGGCAGTGATTCTCACTCTGCCTCAGTCTCCACTCCTTGACAGTGCTTCAGCCAATGCTTGTGCTCTCTAGGATTTTCCACTTTAGGTCTGAAGATGAAAGGGCATAAAGAAGTTATGTCATTATGAAGTATCAACCTGCAGTACCAATGTGGCGTTCCCTTTATTAGCAGAAGCAGCATCCTTGGGGAAATAAGTACAATCCCACAAAATATTCATGAAAAAGAGAACTGGCTTCGTTGATTGGAGCCCATCATATGATAATAATGATGATAAAATGATAAAATAACCTTTTCTTACAGGCTTAGGCCTTGTACCACATGGCTGACCATCTGTTTTACCCAGGAAGGTTACAGTTCCTCAGGGAAATGATGCAGTGTAGCGAAAGCATGGTTTTAGTCTAAATAAGAATTGTTTATGTACAAATAAAAGATGTAGTACTGAAATACAGTGCCATAACTTCAACTCGTAGCTGATCTTGAACAACTTGAGCTGTGGTGTCACAGAGCATGCAGATAATAAATACTCCTCTGTCCAAAATGTTTTATGTGTTGTAAAGAAGCTTTGGAAAAAAACCTCTTGTATTAAGACATGAGAAATTTAATTAAACCTTGTAAGATTGTTTAATAAATTCAAAGAAATAATTCTTCCATGTGCAGGTGTCTATTCTTAATCTTTAGAAGACTTGCCGATGATAAGCCTTGTTGTCAATAAGTACTAAATGCACCAACTGGGTATGGTGTCCAGAAAAACACTATTTATATGCAGCAGTGAAATATAAGTCCCATTTTATCTCCTCTCTAAACTCAGCCTTCTGGAATGTGGAGCTTTTGCCTGACAGGTTCAGATGTTGATATCATACTGCCTTCTAGGATGACTGCAGCTTTCCTGCTTAAAATGTACGTGGGATGTTGGACATTTCACTTCAAGGCACCTTGAGTTCCCACTTGGCTTAGGCAGCGGTAAAATGGGAAGTATTTCCCAGTGACATCAGTCTGTCAGCATTATGCAGTTTCAGTCAAGTTTATGGAAGAGAAGTGTTTATTCTAGAAGATTAAAGGCACAGGTGACTTTGGATAAAAAATAGAAAATTTACCCATGACATAAGCAAGCAGAAGAGCTTGAATCATGTTTTAATTTATTTTTTTTTTTGCACTCATTTCTTTGGGAAAAATGTGCATTTCTTGATAGATTTTTAAACATGAAAAGTATGGATAAATAGACTTGGTTTCCTTTAGGAAAGGAAGATATGTGTTTGCTTAAGCAGGTTGTTAGTGTAACTTTCCTGTTAGAATTGTAACTGCTCTCTCTTTTTTTTTTTCCTTAAGTCTATATGTAAGTGCAAGTTTCCAAGTTTTACCTTTGAGAAGTTAAGGAGCTGTGACACTGGCAGGTTCTGTGTATTTTGTTTCATCTTTTAATAGCTGAAGCTCCCTTAAAGGTCTGGTTACAAATGATACTGTTATCTAACATCTTTTGTTCTTAATCAGCTTATATATAAAACTAACATTATCTAGAATAATCAGTGAAGTTTTCTTTTTGAAATTTCTGGCTTACTGAGATTTAAAGTTAAAAGTGTCAACTCCTACTCAGAGATAATAAATGTTTATTTTGATCCTTTTGCTTTCAGCATCCTTCCTGAAGAGAGGTTAGGAGGCCTTGCAAAGCAGGAGTGACCTATTGATTTACATATTAAGTATCTGTCCTAATTACTCACACAGTCACAATCTAAAGCATTAAATTAACTTTCAGAAGTATAGTTTGGGGACCCTTCCAAAAGTGTATCTGCTGTAATTAGGCTTCTGCATGTTACGAGCTAACTGAAGCCTCATGTTATCTTTTGCTTTGGTTTGTATTTTATAGGCAGTGGAGCTCAGTAATGTGACCTCTGAATACAACAAAATAAAGCAGCTGTTTCAAGAGACTATGAAAAACTACAAGGTCCTTAAAATACAGAGGATTCAGAATCCATCCCTCTGGAAAGTGTTTCAGTGGTCAGTATTTGCTTCCTCGTCCTTATGGGGAGGGAGTCTCCCAGAGCCGGTGTCCTGTATCCACTTCCTAGGAAAGACTGTTACCACTTCTGCTGTAATGTGACTGGTATTTGCTCCTTAGGAACAGTTTCAGGAGTACAATTAAGTGTCTGAGGCCTTTCAGAGAATGTCAGGCTCCTCGGAGGAGGTTCCTTTTGCACGTTGCTTGGAAGATGCGGGGAGGGGTGCAGATAGAAAGACAGGAATGACACAAAACTGCTGTGGATAGAGTATTGTATCCGGGGTTGAACAGTAACTGCCTGCTGCACACATCTCTCTGTTACTGGTGTTTATCCATGACAGTATATAAAATATTTGCTAAAGAAGCGTGCAGGGGTTAAGGGTCCTTGGGTTTTTTTGTGGTTTTTTTTTTTTTTTGGTTTTTTTTTTTTTTTGTTTTGTTTTTTTGTTTTTTTCTCCAGTCAGATTCATTTAAGGCGCTCTCAAGAGTTTGAATACCCTTGCTGAATGATGTCAGTGTTCACTGAGAAAGAATCGTTGTGCTTTAACTTAATGAGCTCTGAGTTCCAGAGCTCCTTTCTGGTTTTCAGCGCCTGCATCAGTGATACTGAGCTCCAGGTACTTCTGCCAAGCTAGATACCAACAGATTTGAGCTGAGACTACTGACAATAAATGGCCAAGTTAACTTGATAGAGGACTAAGCTGTTGCATAGTACGGCTGTCCAGATTAAAACAAAAGTACAGATACTTAATACTCACGGACTGTATGTAATGGGAATGGAGAAGAAAAACGCTGCTCAAATAAGCACTTTCACCTGCGAACCTCAACCCAGGAAGTTACCAGCTAATAATTTCATAAAACTTTCCATCTAGCAAATCTCAAAACACTTACAAAAAACATGTAATAGTGCATAATTTTTTCTTTTTATCCTCCTCCAATGAGATAATTTGGCAAAGTTTAACATTGCCAAGTTCTCAATGAACAAATTTCAGTCCGTTGCTCTTAACTTTTTATGCAGTTCGCAAGTTGGAAGGATCCTCCACTCTCCCTGGCTTTTACTTTGTAGCTGGTCGCTTCCTAAAGAATATTAATTACTGCCTTGTCCCCTTCAACAGCTGCTGAAAACCCGTGAGACAGCTGGACGCTGTGAAACAGCCATGGGAGATACTGGTTGAGCCTCCTCTTGTGATTCCTTTTTTGATACTGGTCGTGGCTTGGTCTGACTCTGTCCTAAATCAGTAGGGTCTGTGGTGGGGAAGGCAGGCTGGGTTTTTGATCTCACAAGGGGCAGGAGCTCAGGGCCTGCAGCACTCTGAGGTCGCTGGGGGACTAGACATTAAAGCACAACTCATAGGACCCTACACAGGAGCAAAAGGTTGGTACAAGGGTGACTGTACTAATGCCAATGCCTACTTAACCTCACTGAAGTAAGGCAGAATTGCCTAGGATTGCTGGGCAGTGGTATCAGTAAATACACCAAATTACAGTTACATAATCTTGGAATTGTTCATCATACTGCTAGTCTGTCTCATCTTCCCAGCCAAGAGGAGAAAGCAGACTGGGAATCTTATCCAGCTGATATTTACATGTATACTATATACTTTATTTAAAAACAAAACAAAACAAAACAAACCACCTTCCTTTTCTTCTGTGGCTCACACTCTCCTCCCCTGCATTTTTCTGTTAGGCAAAAGGAGCAGATGAAAAGGGAGAATGGAGGGAAGGAGGTAAACGAAAAGCTCCTGTTCCATGGAACCAAGAAGTCCTTCGTGGAAGCCATCTGCATTCACAACTTCGACTGGAGAATTTGTGGAAGCAATGGAACTAACTATGGAAAGGGTACGTAGGAAGTGGCTCTGTTAGATCCCCTGATACTACAGCAATCAAAAACCTCAAACCTTTAACTATAGAGGGTGAAAAAAAAGAGGTAGGAATTGGTTTTATGATCTTCCTTCCCTCTGGAAAGGACAAGGACTTGCTTTGTGCAGGAGTAAGTCTTTTCACAAGGCGTTAAGAGAACCGACATGGGGATTTGAAGAGCCTTTATTGCTGTAGGTGTGATCTTCTGAAGGCTTGAGGTCATTGTTTGAACTTGCCAAAGAAATGGCCTTGTGTTTTCCTGTCTAACCCTCTCATCGTAACACACACGCCTGTAGTGTTTTTATATATTTCAATTTTTAAAAAATTATTCATTATTTAAAAAATAGCAACTTCTGAATGGAAATTCTGTGGCGGAATCCTTTCTCTTGTAAAAAGTACCGTGGTATTATGTAAACTAAGAAGAGAGCTGAAAAGCGGGTCAAATACTGAAAAACTCCGTTTTCCCAGTCGCTTTATACCTATTCCTTACAACTGTGTTTTCATACCATTTTCTAGGAAGTTACTTTGCCAGAGACGCTTCCTATTCCCATAGATACTGTCAGCCTGAGGTGAGAACAAACATTATGTTCGTGGCTCGTGTGTTGGTTGGAGAATATGTTAAAGGCTGCACAACCTACGTTCGCCCCCCAGCAAAGTCTACTGATGGGCTCCGGTTTTATGACAGCTGTGTGGACAACGAGCTCAACCCCTCCATTTTTGTTGTCTTTGAAAAATACCAGATTTACCCAGAGTATATAATACAGTATAAAGAGGAAAATGAAAAATGTACATTATCATAGAAGGACGGGAGCTGTCTGTATCCCTCATCTTATTTTCCGTATTGCAGGTATTCTCGTATTGGGTGACTTTGTCCTTTTTAACACAATCCTTTAGAAAGTTAATCCAACTAATTCCTGTACTGAGGAGGGCTGGCAAAGCAGATGTTATACTTGAGACTAATTGCCTTCTCTTCCTCTCTTAAATGAAGCATAGACATTTAGATAACTGTAGCATAAAAATCAGAATCACAGGATGGGAAATCAAATGTTATGACTTCTGGGGGCAAATAATTGTAAACATGTTTTCTCAGAAATACAGTAGAGGGGATTTCTTTTGGCAAACAGCTCAGTCAAGAGAAAAATTAACAGTACAGTAGTTTTTAAGCAAACTTTCAGGCTTTTGGTAGTCAGAGATTCTTGTCAGTGCAGAATACGACTGTTCTTGATCCTCTCCTCTATCGCAATTCTAAACGAGTCAGTGTGTGAGAACAACATAGATTTCAAAGTGCTGCTTGTTAATGCTGATAGATTCAAGCTGAAAATGGTCGAACAAAAAAAAAAAAAAAAAAAAAAAAAAAAAAAAAAAAGCGACGTAAGTTCTCCAGTGGAGAAGTTTTATCTGTACAATGGCAGGTACCATTTGGATCAGCAAATGTTGGATCAGATTCTTTCTGCAGATCTGCAGTAACTTGCTGCGTGACCTGTACGAAAACAGAGCTCAAGCGAAACCCTGAAAGTCACAAACTGTGAATAAGCAGGTAGTAAAATTTGGTGGTTTGGATGCAACTAATGGCCGTAAGTATAGAAAGGCTTGTGTCACAAGTGACAAATGTGTTTCCTCAATGTGAATATTCGCTTGGCAAATCCTGTAGGACAGGAGAAACATCTTAAAAAGCATTGATATTTTCTGTCCTATTTCTATATGTTAATTTTCGTTTTTTCTAGAAATATGACTGGAAGAGACCAGTTCTGTTCTCTCGAGGCCAGTGGTAAAACTGCTGTCCTAAGACACTTCGTAAATGTGTTTTGTTGCCCACATCACGTTGGGCAACTCACTGTCAGCTCCCAGGTGTAGCTCCTCTTTGTGTTGGAGGTCGCTTTGGGTGACCCTGGATGCTGCTTCCCTGGGTCTGTTTTTTTGTCAGTGATGTACAACCCTATCGACGGTGGTTAAGCCCTTTTTTAGTAAGTTACGTGCTTTTTATCGTCCAAGACAGAAAATATAAAAACTCTGTGAGACTTTCTAATAAATTTTAATATGGAGTTTGTAAGTTAATGGAACTCAAGACCCTCTGTACAAAGATATCTTATTCAGAGGGAAACTGTTAGTGAAGATGAGGGAGCAGTAATTTTTACTTTCAGATAAGCTTTACAGTAACACAAACACCCTTCTGGTTATTTGTATCTTCAGTACTAATCTGTCAACTGCGTGTGCTACTCAAGTTTTGAAGTTACCAAGAGGACAGGGAAAATATATCATACTAGAACATCTTACTGAAATCACTGTCTTAAAATTAAATGAAAATATGCGTCAGTAATGCATTAAAAGGGGAAGATTTTACCGCTTTCTAAGATCTCTCCCATTTTTGTTTGCCTGTAGAGTGTCTCAGTCACTGAGTTGCCGTACTTACAAATAAAATACGTTTTCATGCATTTTTTTGCTTGCTAGCGTGCAGTTTGTACGTAAACTTATTGCACAGCTCACCAGACCTGGTGAACCAGATGCTCAGTGTCTTCAGCCGTGTCCCTAAAGCAGGGAGCTGCACGGGTTTGCATTTTAGCACATTTTAGTGTGAAGGCTGGAATACAGTCTGATTTGTGGAGAATAATATATCTTATTCCTAATAAGGTACATTTAATTATTAAGCGCTGCGGTAGCTTGGATGGATTCCATGGAATCCAACAGTTGCTCTGATTGTCAAAGCTCTAAAAAAAGGGGGAAGAAACAGTAGCAGAACTACTGGTTTTAATGTGTATTCAGGTACTGAATGGCAGCAGAGAGTGAAGC